GAGAGAGAGAGAGAGAGAGAGAGAGAGAGAGAGAGAGAGAGAGAGAGAGAGAGAGAGAGAGAGAGAGAAAGTTGAATCTTGAAATCCTTTTTCAGAAATTGAGGACGAATCATACAATGTTCATTTCTTCTTGAGTGCCAACTCAATTCAGTTTGTGTCACTTTGTCGCACCAATCGGCTTCGCCTTGTGTTTTAACCTTTCGTCACTACATCCAATTTTGTCCACTCATGCAATTGTATTTTCAGCCGCGCTACCTTAATTCAAATCTCATCACATTCGAGCACATCGGCGTCGCCTTTCGGGTTTTCCCTCCGTCGGCACATTCGAATTTTTCATTGTATTGGGTAATGCATAGGAACCGAATGTATGAATGCGCGTGCAGACGGGAAGCATTGAAGGGCCAAATAATTGACAGCATTCAATGTCGAAAACAAAAAGCACCCAGCGCGGAGGGCCAGACGGGCCATCAAATGTATAAAGAGACCCATGTGTTGTATTTTCTTCACTGTGATGCCTCACAACATTCAAAGTGAAAAGGCATAGATGAGTGTAGACAACGGGGAAGGTTCGAGAAAGAGGCAGAAAAACATAGAGTTAGTTGGAGTCCGGATGCATCCGAGTATGAGGGCAGAACATCACACCACACAAGACACAAAACGACGAAAGTGAGAAAGTCAATCACGAAACAGGCGCCCCAACAACGGGGACGTTCGTGGTAATTGAAAGCCAATGAGAAAGAATAATATGTCGACGACAAACACGCCGAGGACATGACAATTTCACTCAGAGATATCCTGGCAGTGACAGCCAGTTCTTCTCTGAACCAAACCGAGAACACCCATCTGTCTCTCACGGAAAAAAATGAAAAGGATCAAATTTCATCCTGAGAAGAACGAAATGTTCTTCTACGTCAACCCTTCTACACTACATGATGAGCAAATAGATAGACGCTTACCTACCAACATCGCAAATCGTCAAAGCTAGTCTAGCTCTGACAGAAGAGATGTGTCTATGGGAGAAACCAAAGGTGGACGTAAACCTCTCGCCAAACAGGAAGCGAACATCAACATGAACACCCCACAACTAGCCCCGTCGTGCTGCCGAGGGACACCTTCCATGCTGACCTCGCGAGCGAAGTGGTCGAAAGTGCGACCATCAGCGGCGGCACCTGCCACCGTGTTAAAAAATTTAACAGTTTTATCTAAAAGTGCGGAGTAGAAGGAATCTTTGGATGACGAACACGAGAAAGAATCATAGATTTCCAAAACACGTCTAGAGAAGTCAATGGCCAAAAGGCTCCAGTGTTCGCCGTCCTTGTGCACTGGTGCCAAGACGAGGTCATGAGACAGGAGATCGACATCTTTAGCCCATCTGTTAACAGTTGCCAGACCTCGCAGAAGCAGTGTAGAGGTAAAAAAAAAGTTAAAGGTGTACGTCTTCTTGGTAGCAGCAGTCCGGCCGCAGTCGTCGAGTAGCATCGCCAGGTAGAAATTGACGACCTCATCGTTGAGCTCCCTGGATCCATCCATGAGTGCGACGATGTCCTTGACGGATACCTGTAAATTGTGCGACGGCAAACACACGACGATGATAGTGAGCGCCAACCGGGAGCAGATAATGTCTTCAAGGACTGCTCTTCCGTCTCGAGGAAACCCTTTTCAAAAAACACCTGCAGCACACAGCAAGCACAAAGGATGGGGCACTATGAGAGAATGTCGTCCTAGCGGCCATGGTGCGACGAACCACTACTCTGTGGCCCGAAAAGTTCACGCATAACGTCACCCCTACTTCTGGACCTTCCACACACAGTTGATTCTAAACTAGCACTATCCCTTTTTATATCCCTGCAAGCCTTGAGAAGGAATTCCTTGCAGTCTTTTTCGGCAACAACCGCTGCCTCTGCAACGAGTCCTGCGCGAGGGCGCAATACGGGTACGACTACCCTTCTAGGAGGGCCCGAAGGTTTAGTATCCCCAGGAAACGAATCAGTGACATTGCGACGACTAGTGCCTCCCGCAACCAGGACTGACATCCTGGCGAGGGCTGGCGGCTCCTGTGACATGTGTGTTTGTCCACGAGTTCGTCGATCTGTACAAGAAATAGCCGCCCGGAGAGTTCAGCAGGAGATCAACGACACAACTTCGCAAGAGCAACCAAGCAAACAACACCTCACGAAGCACATCGTCACAATCCAGTTGCAGCCGCCTACACACCTCCCCGAAATCGACAAAGCAAACAACACTTCACGAACGGGCTGACGAGCGGGAAGCAAGCAGAGAAAGTCAGTGCTTACCAGGCTTAGCTTCCACGTCATTAGAGCCCACCGATGGCAGTCCCAACACGATTGGCGCCCCTGTGTGAGTCGACGCGGCGACGACGTGCTCCAAACCCACAGGGGAACTTGACATGTTCGAGATGTCGGCGTTGATGACCGGAGACGACATAAATTCATCCCCATCCCGATGGCGGAAATCCTCCACGTCCGCGACGGGCAATTTTAGTATGTCCGTCTCCGAACAAAGAGCATCGATGTCCACAACATCGACAGGCTGGGTTTTCTCCATCACCACTGTGTCGTATTGTGTTGTGCTCAAGGTCCCATGGATGTCCAACAACACCTCTCCCCCCCTTAACTTCTTGTCCTCGTGCGCTGTGTTTTTATCGTCGTCACTGAAATAGAGAAATCTATCTTCAACAGCGTCAGAGGACTTCTTCAGAACGTCCTCTCCCATCGCCTCCTCGTGAAGGCCGGAGTACAAGGGGTCGTCGTGTCCTGGCTCAACCGGTTGCTCCATCCCGACGTCGCTAAGTGTCGGACCAATCCAGTCGTCGGCGGAATCGTCCTTGTCCAAAGTCGTCAGAAGTCGACAACCCTCAACGCCTACCAGTTGAAGTCCTTCGTCCGTGTGTCTTGGATGAATCCGAATTACGGTCGTCTCCAAAGCTGCATCATGGAGGGACATGCTCACAGGGCCCTGGTTCGGATTCATCCGAGCCCCCGCAGTTTCCAATGGCGCCGACGTGTCCGCTTTCATCGGAGAGTCGCTTAAGACTGCTAACTCAGCGGGTACCATCACCAGGCACTCATCTTCGAGTGTGCGGGGCTCGACATTTAAATTGGTTGCTAACAGTCTTCCTGCAGCTCCTTGTGGACTTCCATGCACAACATTACGGCGTCCTGACATCGATCGTCTGTCATGGCAGACACGTCCTCCTGGTTCGGATGAATCCGAATTTCGCCGCCAGGGTTTTCGGAATCCCGGACCACCCGTTCGAGTTCCGTAGACCGATGTGCTCTCTCGATGGTACTGGCTTCCCGGTTCGGATTAATCCGAACTTCCTTTTGAGGTGAAACTGAACATGGTTCGAGCTTGTCGCTGCCGGATCTGTGGTATGTTGTCGTCTCGCTTCCCAGAAGGCACTGAGTTCCGGACGACGATGTCGTCTCCGAGGTTCGAATTGATCCGAGACAATCCGCCAACCGTTTTTGGAGCTGAGCAAAGCAAGTTCCATTCTTTGCTACAATAGCCCCGCCAACAGCATCGGTAAACTGTGTTGCGCTGGTGGAGCTAATCACAGGGTCCTGCTCGCCAGGCCGCGTAATCCACCGAGGCCTGAAGTCGTTCCCTGTCTCCATTGAGGTGCTGCCTGTTACCGCCAGAACCCCACCGTCCTCGTCGCGGTTGACATCGGACCCCTGCCCGGCTGCCCTTTTTCCCCTCTCCGCCGCCCGCGTGCCCCGGAGACCGCTGTTTCGTTGAACGCTGTTCACTTCCACCTGCCCGTCGCCTTCACCATCCCATTCGCCGTCCTTTCCGCTAGACTTGCGGTTCACAACTCCTGCCGGCGGGGTGACCGCAGGCAACTCACAACTCACTTGCTTAATTGATGGGCTTGACGGAAGGTCGTAGAACGCGGAGGATACTTCCAGCCATTTATTTGACTGCAATAAATCGAACAGCGTGTCCCCGTATGCGCGCAAAGCAGGGTCGTCCTTACTTCGTCGATTGACCTCACTTAATCTCTCCAATACCGCATCGTAGGCGCGAGATTTGAATGTCTCGAGGTCCCAACGATCGTCATATATCCACCCTCAACTTACGTCCCTCACAGCCACTGCCCATTCGGCGTCGAGAAGGACTGGCTGGAAATGGTCTGGGTGCCACACGATATCATAGCCCCAATCTTCGGCTGTGGAGAAGGTGTGTTTGTCGCCCATGTGGTAGGGAATTGCAAGAGTCGAGAGATGTGGATGGTCCGGAGGAACTGGATGGCCGGGTTGAAGACGTTCGGCCTGCAGTGTGAGACGAATAGGCTCCCCTGGCGAACTCCTCTGACGGGACAACCCACCCCTCTTGACAAGCGCTCAGGAGGACACGGGCGTGGGACCGCCTGAGCTCGGTGTAGCGAGAGGTGTCCACGGTTTGCATACTGACGACGACTCAGAAACTTGGGCATTGAAGATGGCCAATTGCCCGTCCAAATCGAAGAGGTCATCCTCAACGCTCTCCCGTGCTCAGTCTCGATATTGAAGTCATCGTCCTCACCGAACGCCAGCCTGTAGTTATCCAAAGTGAAGTCGGCCGGATCGACCACACCCGCGTTAAAAAATACATATTCCAGCCTCTTAATGAAGCTCACTGCGCCGGCCGGACTCGCTCCGTGGTAGCCCTGGAGGACTGCAATGGCAACTTCCTTCCGCACCACTTATTGCTGGTCGAATCTCAAACTTGGTTGTTCGCCGTAAAGGAAGGAGTAGACCTGGCGCCTTTTCTTTGGAGTCAATTTGAAGAACATGTCCTTGTTCGGGTCATAAACGGGCTCAACCACGACATGGTGGAAATCGCATGCGCAAGCCTTGGACGACACTTCATGGGTGACATACTACACGGTGTATTCAAGCTGCGTTGTGTCCCCATCCACGGCCAAGACGTGCCTTCCCTGTTGCAGCAGACTCCACACCACCTGCGCGTGCGGCTTGCCCAAGAACAGCACGGCATCCGCCACACCACAGAAGAAAAGAAGTTGATTGCATAACTGATTAGGATTCCGCTTGCCGTCCTTGTACACAGCCCCCTTCCGGCTGAGGTTCCCGATGTCCGCGAGAGTCAAGGACTTGAAAAACTTCTCCTCCACATCCGTGGGTGTCACTTTCTGTTTCCTCCGGAAAGCGGCGGCATCGTCTTCGGCAACGACTCCCTTGTGCACCGGGTGAGTCAGTAGCCGCGGATCCTTGCCTTTGAAAAGGATGTGCATCACATCCGGCTCCTCCCAGACGCTGTTTCCGAACTGATGCGTCTTCTTCGATGCCGTCTTCCGAACCCACTTCCCCATGTAGCATCGGGTATCCCCAAGCGCAGACAAAGATGTCATGAAGGAGAGGTTTCACAGGCAGGGAAAGAATACCACCAATGTCCAGTAGTCCTGACAAACGAAGCCCAGCAACTCACTCAGAGACGCGAATGCCCTAGAGTCCCATTGAGCACGGTCCACAATTCCGCACAAGTCGAGCACGCAAGTGTGGGAGCGTAGCTAATGCCCTAGTTTTCCCAGCGCCTCCTTATGAGCTATGGCACTCAATGGGTCGACGTTAAACAAGGCCAGCGTCGTTAAGGCGCTTGTCCTCGTCCACATAATGTTGATGCATTCATCAACGCCTCGAGGGCTTTTTTTGCCTTTGGCGCGATCTCCAGTGATCACCGAAAGGACGACACGCTTCCACTCTGCCGGGAAATGCTGGTAGTTAACGAGGGCCGTCGTTCTCTTGATGTTGTTGTGGTGTTGACACCCGAGAAACTGAGGGCACTTGTTGACGTACGCGGTGTCCGTGAAAAATTTCCTGCTCTCGTTCCAAAGCTTGTCGTCCTGACCTTTGTCCTTGAACTCTTCCAACAGTTGGCGATTGGACCTGAAGAACGTGGAGTTGGCATTCCACTCCCGCTTATCCATTTCCTCGTACTCGAACTTCACGTAGTGCCACAATCTCAGCATAATCCGGTCTATTTTTATTATGTCGACCATCTCCTTCACACTGAACTTCCCCTGCTCGGCCAACTTCTTGCTACTCGTTTGAACCCACACAACGTTAAGGTTCAAGACGCCGTTCAACAACCTTTTGTTCTCGCGGTCCGTCGAGTGCACCAATTCCTTCCAGCAGTGGACGTCCGGCTCAGGAACTTGGACGTAGTAAGTTTTCTCCTCCGCGCCTTTCTTTGGCTTCCCCTTGCCGTTTTTCAACGACGGGTCGTCCACCTTCACGTACCAGACGTGTTTCTTTAGCCCCTGGCTGTCAGTCACAGTGGAGAGTCCTAGCTTGGCCACCTCCTCATGGGTGGGTGGCTTTTCAGTCCATCGCCGGCCGTTGGAAGGAAGGAGTTTCCCTTTCGACCACTCATCATAGAACTTCTCCCCCAAAGCGAAGACGGAGTCATCTGCCATGGCCAGCGGGAGGTAGTATCGAAGTTTCTCAGCCCATTCCTTTTTTTTCTTTTCTTCCGTTGACAGGTTCCACAAAGGCGTGTACAGTGTCTTCTTCATTGCCAACGCCATGAACTGCACCCACTTTCGCACCTCCTCCTTTTTCTTCGATGCATTGCCTAGCACTACACGCGGTTTGCCCTTTATTTTCTAGATATTGCGAATGTTCCACGTAGACAAAACCTGCAAGCGCGGTGGATTCTTTTTGTCTTTCATGTTGTCTTCGCAGCTGACATGGGCGTAGCCGTCGAACTCGTCGTCAGGGAAGTAGATCGGTCTGAACAGCCATTTACAGAAGTTGTAGTACTCAAACACGGGATGGTCTTTCACCTTCATCGCCGCCCTCGCGTTATGCTGTCCACACACAGGATAATACCAGTATTTCTCGGGGTGTGAGTTATCGAAGTCACCAGGCAGCACGCGCACAGCAGGCTCGCCCCTCTCTGGAGGCGCGACGATCGGAGCGAGAACGTTCGTAGCAGTCGATCATAGCCGACGCGATGGTATCAACGAGAAACTCGTCCAAGGATCGGTGGTTGTACGCGTCTTCCCAGTCTGGAATAGCCAATATTCTTTCGGGATGGATCTGCAACACGACGTTCCTCTGCACCCCTGTCTTCATCTCGAGGAAGAACGCATTGTCGAGGTTAAAGGCGTTGAGGTTAATCTCCACGTCGTCATCCCCCTCCCCGCTGTCCCCCTCATCAACTTTCTTCTCCCTCGCTGATTTCGACCGTTTCCCGGAAGACTCACCGATTCTTCGCTGTGTCGACGAGTCTTTTGGCGTTTCATCCCCACCTCCAACCCTTTTCCTCTTCTCAACGGAACCGCCGTCTCGTGTTGTTGGCGTTCGAGCACTCCCTCCTTCCTTTCTCTGCCTTTTCAGAGCACCTACTCCCTCTCGCTCTTCCTCATCTCGCAAGTTGCGCTTGCCTCCCGACTGAGTCTTTTCAGGCGATCTCTCACGGAACAGCCCCTGCTCGAACGCCTCCTCCTCACCGGCGACGTTCCCACTTGCTTCTCGTTCCTGGCTCAACTCCATCTGCAGTTGTGCAGGCGCAGGTCGGGCCCGACGAGTCGTCTCATCTGACCCGCGCACCTCTCGAACCTGCGAACCACCCGAGCGATCGTCTGGCGAAACCTTGGCCACCTGCATGCCTCGAACGAACGCACCGATCCTTTCGACCAGACGACGAGGAGTCATCGATTCTGAGCCCTATTGCAACCGTTCGCCAACGTCGCCTCCACGTCACGGTGGCGTCGACTCCCCAAGCAAACATTGGCGGTGAGATCCATGCAAGCCCGATTTCAAAGGAGCACGCGGATGGTCATCCTCTGAGTTGTCCGACATGCCCACCTCTTGATTAGGAGGCGTAGCTGGCAGGCCACCCTGACCTCCCATCCTCCTTTCAGAGCACTCTCCTCCCGGGAACCCAACAGGACCACTGATCGATGTCCCAGGTCCGACGTCCATGGCACTGACAGAGGTACCTGATCTCGCCCTGGCCTCGAGGAAGTCTGTCACGTCAACGGCCTCGTCGTGCCCCGGCGCTAGCGGGACAAAGGACGGCAAAGACATCGCACCCTAACCGTACCCGCAGAACATCTTCCCGGCAACCTTGCATCCTTTCGCGATGTCGTCGACGGAACCATCACTTTTGTAAATCTTCCGCAACGTAAACCTGAAATTGTATTCGCCTTCGTCGACCCACTCGACGATGGACCCTGCGAGACGCGTCCTATCGACGTGAACGACGACGAACAAGAGCGGCCCGCATGGTGGTTTGAACGGGTCGGAGTCGTCCTGGCTCGCCGAGTCCAAATACCAGACACGTTTGCTGTAATCGCACCACAAGTTTTGAGCCCGTCGTTCTTCCTCCCCACGTCCACCTCCTCGACTCGTTTCCCTTGCCGGTGACGACATCGTCCCTCGACGCTCCTCTCCATGCGGGGCGGAACCACCAGCGGAGCGGCTTCGTCCGTGTGTAGCCATTCCCTGAAACACGCGGAGGAAATGAACGCACATGCACTCAGAACACTCAGCACGTCCTAACGTCAACCGTCGACCCAGAGCACGTATTCAGTTATCGATCAACCGGACAAAAAAAAAAACGAAGTCCAGTAATAGTTAGACGACAGCGGTCCACACGCCTGCTCGAAAAGGAGGGCAACAACACATTTCGGATGAATCCGAGGCATCGCGAACCATCCTTGTCACACTGCCCTTAACAGAACGAATGGTCGAAAACGAAGACCGCGGGATAGTTCGGATACATCCGAAGTAGGCGCAGTCGGAAGACCGACGTCGCTCATGGTTGCCAGTCATAGGCACCTGCACCGGAAAAAGCAAAACCGCGCTAGAAGGCCAAAGAATGCTGATAGAGCAGACGAAGATGTGCACCCCATGGTGATACGGTTTCATTCAAAGTCGACAAGCGGATTGTAAAGTTCACCGGTGTAGTTCGGATGCATCCGAGCTCCAAAGTGGTGTGGACCATGCCCATGTGGCCCGGACCAATCCGAACTCGAGTTTTCTCGTCGTTCTGAGATGGTAACAGTTGTGACTCGGATGCATCCGATTTCGAACAGCGCTGTCCTGAGACGGCCGTCCACAAGAGGACGCCATCGACAGGACGTGTTTTCGTCAACGACGTGTGAGCATAGGGTTAATCCTATCTTGTCGGAGGCTGGTTCGGTTGAACCCGAACTTCACCAATGTGGCTCGGATTAATCCGATAAGGGGACCGGCGGACGGACCCCACGGTCTGTAGACGCCGATCCAGCCATCCAAGCTTCCATTATTCCCCTCTTGTCCTTGGGTCGTCCTCGTCCTTGAGTGTTTAAGACGGGTGTGGCTTGGATTTATCCGATTTCGACAGGGGCTGTCCCGATACGTGCGACCACGAGAGGCTGTGCCGACACCGTGTGCTTTCGTCGTTTAAGTTTATTAGACCGTGTGACGTCGTCAATACCCTTTGCGCATGTGGTAAATCCGAACAAGCCATCGGTGTGGTTCGGATTAATCTGAACTTCGCCGAGGCGCTTCAGTTTGTTGTCGCCCCACCACACACTGGACCTCCCCGCGATTGTCGTAGTGTGTCGTTATAATCTGTGCGTCGTTACAGGGGGTGTCGTTATCCTCGTGAGTTTTAGTTGGTTGTGGCTCGCCCAATCCAAACAACAGACACGTTTGCTGTAGTCGCAGCACAAGTTTCGAGCTCGTCTTTCTTCCACCCGAGCGTCACCTTCTTGACTCGTTTTAGTTGGATGATTTGCGGCATCGTTAACCCTCGTCATCAGACTGCCCTTCGTAGAACGAATGGTCGAAGACGAAGACAGCGGGGTAGTTCGGATACATCCGAACTAGGCACAGTCGAAAGACCGACGTCGGGTATCGTTGACAGTAATAGGTACTTGCATTGGGAGAAGCAAGACCGCGCTAGAAGGCCCTAGAACGCTGGTAGAGCAGACGAAGTTGTGCACCCCATTGAGACACGGAATCATCCGAAGTCCACAAGCGGATTGTAAAGTGGTGTGGACTACATCCGTGTGGGCCGGATTAATCCGGACTCGAGTTTTCTCGTACTTCTGATTTGGTGAAAGTTGTGACTCGGATGCATCCGAATTAGCACAGTGCAGTCCAGAAACGGCCGACCACAAGAGGAGGTCATCGGCATGGCGTGTTTTTGTCAATGACCTGTGAGCATAAGGTGAACCCTATCTTGTCGGAGGTGTGGTTCGGATTAATCCGAGATGGGGACCGACGGATGGACGGCACGGTCTGTTGACAGCGTGTGATTTTGTCGTTCAAGTTTATCAGAACGTGCGACGTCGTAAATACCGTCTGAGCATGTGCTAAATCCGAACTTGCCATCGCTGTGGTTCGGATTAATCCAAACTTCGCCGAGGTGCCTCGATTTGTGGTCGCCTCGTGAGTTTTAGTGGGTTGTGGCTCAGATGCAACCGAAATTAACAAGGGTGGCTCGGATACGTTAGTTGTTGTGCCACCAGAGGATGGTATGGACAGGGTGGGATGTCGTCGTCCTGGTTGATCAGACTTGTCGCCGTCGACAATACCCTTCGAGCATTTGATCACTCTGTGTCGTGTCTTGTGTCCACGTCAGCGGAAGGGTTCCTCGCGGCGATTGGCTGACGCGAGGTTTGATAGGGTTTAAAAATTTGAATTCATGTTCGCCCTTGAGTGCAATCACAGATGAGTAATCCGAGGACTGCTAGGACATTGTCCTAGCAGTCTTCGGATTGCTCATCTGTGATTGTGCTCAAGGGGGAACAACCTGGAATCGATTAGGCGATTGTCTGTGTCTTAGAATCTTTCCTAGCAGTCTTCGGATTACTGATCTTTAATTGCACTCAGGGGGGACCAACCTAAGATCGGTTGAGTGACTGTCTGTGTCTTCAAAGATTGGAGAAAAGCGGAAAAAACGCATAGACACGAAAGGGAGACTAAGATCGATAGAGACGTCGATAAGGAGAGGGGGCGCAGCAAGAGAGTCTGTCTTTATCTCTCTGTCTCTCCATGTGCAGATCATGCGGATGATGTTGTCTTTTTCGGAATTCGCAATGTGACCCATTTAAAAAACGCACAAAAGAAATATAAGAAAAAATGTATAATGATCTTCTTGTTGCGCGTCGCTTGTCGAACATGAAATGGCGCTTCGCATGAAGACGACGAGCGTTCTTGATCGTGTCACGGCACTGGATGCACCGCAAACGGTCGTGTGCGTGTCGGCGAGAGGAAGAGTGACGAAAAATGTGAAAAATTTGACGAATGTAGAGGACAATTTACGGCTACAAAACCGAACGCCGAGCGAATTCGCGAGTTACGCGGAAAAACAAATAAACAAACCGAGCGCAATAAAAAATAAATCGGCGAGAAGAAAGTCCATGTACAATCCAGAAGAGAGACAATTCGTGAGAATCCATGTTTTCGTGTTCGACAACATACGATTAAAAATCTTATATCGAAGTTCGTGATAAAGACAACAAATTGACGAGACGCGAGAAACACTTAAAGAAAACCTACGAAGTGACAACACAATCTCGAAGCGCGTGTCACAACATTCTCGGGCTTCATTCGCGGGTCCCGTTTCGTTGGTGACCACTCGCCCCGATTCGATGGCACACTCACACGTCCACGTGTCAGCTCCTGAACATGCGTGGCCACGCTGATGGATGCGGGGCTCTATTCGACAACATTCCGTTGTCGCATAGAGCCCCGCATCCATCAACGTGGCCACTCTTGTTCAGGACGTGACACGTGGACGTCTGAGTGTGCCATCTGATCGGGGCGAGTGGTCGCCAATGAAACACATGCATTCTTGCTCCCGAAACTCCTTCATCTCGCCCCAATTTGATGGCACACTCACACGTCCACGTGTCAAGTCCTGAACATGCGTGGCCACATTGATGGGTGTGGGGCTCTATTCGACAACATTCTGTTGCCGCATAGAGCCTCGCATCCATCAGCGTGCACACGCTTGTTTAGGACCTGACACGTGGACGTGTGAGTGTGCCATCTGATCGGGGCGAGTGGTCGCCAATGGAACGAGATCCGCGAACGCACCCCGAGGTAAGTTCGCGAACGAAACAGGCCAACGCATAAGACGAACGAAATAGAGGCACTGAAAAAAAACTAACGGCGGGGACGATGATGGTAGTAGAACATGACGGCACACACGTCCACGTGTCAAGTCCTGAACATGCGTGGCCACGCTGATGGGTGCGGGGCTCTATTCGACAACATTTTGTTACCTCACAGAGCCCCACATCCATCAGCGTGCCCACGCTTGTTCAGGACCTGACACGTTGACGTGTGAGTGTGCCATCTGATCGGGGCGAGTGCCAATGGAACTCTTTTCGCGAACGCAGCCCGAGGTAAGTTCGCGAACGAAACGGCCCAACGCAAAAGACGAACGAAATAGAGGCACTGAAAGAAAATTAACGACGGGGACGATGATGGTAGTGGAACACGACGGCAAAACGTATGCAATTGCCTTTTCTTCTTCGCATACGTTTTGCGGTCGTGTGCCTCTCCCGTCTTCGTCTTCGTCGTTAGTTAATATTTTATTTTTGTTTGTTCTGTCTCGTTCGTTTGTCTGCGCTTGTCAGTTTCGTTCGCAAACCTTCTGCGAATGACACAGACAAGCACAAAAATACCAACGAGATAAAAGACAGAAAGAGATATAAATAGATAGCGAGAGAGAGAGAGAGCGACAGTGAGGCGATCTCCGCCTTCATCACACGGCCCAATCAAACGTCACGATCAAATGGCCCCGAACGTCACCCCGATCACACATCAGACTCACGGAGAGAGATCCCTGTTCGATCACATGACACTGTTCGTTCGCGGCGACTGAACCCAATGTAATTGCCACCATGCGAATCCCAACTACAGATCGTATATATGTGTGGGCACGCTGACGGATGCGGGGCTCTATGCAAACACAGCATGGCAGGACTTTTGAGGTCGGTGGAGATGGAGAGAGAGAGAGAGACACAAAGAGAGAGAGAGAGAGAGAGAGAGAGAGAGAGAGAGAGAGAGAGAGAGAGAGAGAGAGAGACAGAGAGAGACAGAGAGAGACAGAGAAAGAGAGAGAGAGTGAGAGAGAGAGAGAGAGCTATATATATAGAGAGAGAGCTATATAGAGACAGAGAGAGAGAGTTGTACAGAGAGAGAGAGAGAAAGAGAGAGAGAGCGCTATATATATATATATATAGAGAGAGAAAAAGAGAGAGACAGAGCTAAATAGAGAGAGAGAGGGGGGGAGAGAGACAGAGAGAGATGAGAAAGGGAGATAGAAAGAGAGAGAGAACGAACCTTTTCCTTCCTTGATTTATAACTCCTGTTGGAAAACAATGGCCCCGAGGACTTGATTGCTGATCTCAAACCGCAATATGACGACGGGTGTCGCGACGCGCGAAAAGGGAGGTGCCGACGCGTGAGAGGGCAACACCGTAAATGGAGACGTGGGAGATTGCGACGCGAAGGAGATGGCGAGGCGAGGTATATGGCGACG